GTCAGTCCACCATCGCTGCCAGTTCATAACTTTAATATGCATACAATGTAGCCATTAAAGGCATCTAAAGCCATACCCCATAATATCCTTTTAATCAAGTCCATCCCGCAGCATATAAGTGCATATGCAATTTAATTTGCATACGTGTTTGGTGTTGTTTTTTTTTTTTGTGTGTAAGTATTTGTGTAGATGTACATATTTATGTATACTTTAGTATATATGTGACTTTATTTAATGGAGGTACAATTTAATCTGTTGAAGTGTACATTTGCTGTTTATGCAATTAATATTTATTAAATGTTCTGAAATTGATCAAATTTGTTTGTTGCACACTCCAACATGCGCTGTTCTACTTTATCTACTTTACTCCTCCCGCAACTCACTTATCTCTCTTGTTTATGCTATACACCATATAGGTACCTCACAGTATATGTATGTCGAATTTGTAACATCACCGGCGGGTCCATTGCTAAACACAGGATTTCATTTCAATGTTGGCAACTGGCCAGGACATGTCGAAACGGCAGGCATAAAGCATGGCATTTGCGATTGGCTGCTTAGTTCCGATTCACTTAAGGACAGTAGCGCGAGTGAAGGCATTTTCCTGAGTATTGCCCACTGGTATCCACCGAACACATCATGCAGTTATCACATTAAAGGACGAATAGGCGAAATAGTGCGTTTATATTTTCCAAGGTAAGTTGCAAACATTTGACAAGTAATTTACATAAATGGTTTATGCGTGTGTCAGGTAATTAAATTACTCACCGAAGTTGTAAGTGATATTTCTGGAAAACTTTATTATAAAAGTGTAAAGTGTTATTATTAATTTCATTTCAAAGTTATTATATTATTATTATTATATTATTATTACACACAAAAACACACACACACATATATATATATACATATATATTTAGTAGAAAAAGATACAAGAGCAAAGAATGGTGTTCCTAAGTATCTACACCTTGCAGTTTAAAAATATATACCATATATATAAAAGTATACTAGATATATTTATATATATATAAAGTATTAGTTCGTCATTATTCGTATTATGTATAGTCCATTTTAAATTACACAGATTTTCAATAGTACTTATGTGGTTGGTTAGTAACAGAAAAGACTTTCCAGATGATATATGTTTTCGTTTTTGTCAGTGAATGGAAGCGTCGAACGTTACGAACTAAAATCACTTTTTAGGAATGTTTTGTAGCAAGAAACACAGCACTTTGAACATTTCTATAATACTATAGATCTCATTCCATTAATAATCTTTTAAAGAATCCAAAGAATGTTTGGAAGAGGTAAAGAATTAATAAAGAGTTGATATGGCCCAATGTTCCCCTGGGAATGTACTGGAATAGAGAAGAAGAAAAAGAAGAAAGTGTTGATATTATAGTATTTTATAGTGGATGTGATAGTACTTTAACTCTTCGAGAGGACAAGACAGAGAATTTCACCTGGTTAATAGTATCATAGCCTTCCAAACAAAGTAGGCAAAACCTGTTGTCGGCGAGGCTAAAACGAAATATGTGTTTGGTGCAAGTATGACAGATGCCCTGCGTGCGCTAATGCACATGCGAAATAGGCTACTAGGAATGTGTATTCTTACGGAAGAGGCAATAAAACTCTGTAAAGTAGGTTCTATACTACTTTCTATTGATGCAACAGGGCTTAAAGACCTACTCTAAGTCCAGAAGGGGGCACAATAGACCCGACGGTCGCAGTGCCATATCCCCTAACAATAATAAAAAGTATGACAGATATTTCAACTCTCATTCATCCATCTCTGAGCTAACAAAATATATGTTCAAAAAGCGCTATATCTTTGAAGTTAGATTTTTCCATTAATAATTTATTCTGTTATTTTTTTTTAAGTATTTCGAGTTTTTTAAGTTTATATTTTTTTAATTTAATTTTACTTTATTTTACTAATTTGTTTCAAACAAGTTTATACTATTTTATTTAAGATTTTTTTATTATTCGATTTATATTATTTTTGTCCATTTTACTTTAGTTGTTATTTTATTTTTGTTTTGATTTTATTTTCCATTCCTTTTAGTAGATGTTTTCTTCTTTTTCATTTTATTTTCTTTTCACATCACTTCAAGAATTTACGGTGCAATTTCTTAATAAAGCAGGATTTAAATCATTCAAAGGAGTGAAATCGTTTAAGACACTTTCCAATTTGCCTCGAGGACATAATAACCTCACAAAATAGTATAAAGGAATTGTGCTTTGATACAATTTAATTTAAGTGCAAGAAAATTTAAGCATTTTTGGAAGTACCGAACACATTTCTGCCTTCTAAGCATTTTAATGAAAATTTTAGCCAAGATTTATGTGACGTTTTAATTTAACCTGTCACTTAGTTGGGTTAAAATGGCGCGTTTTACTCCGGTCTTGGTTGCCTAGTCGCCTGCATTGCGGTCGCAGAGCAAAAGTAGTGCTTGTCTTGCTGGTAATAGTTGTGGTGGTGTTATGGAATTAGTGGAATTCTCCCAGTAAATATTCTCGGGGACGTTCCATATATTTCGTTGTAAATGTTAGTAGTTTTTGGTTGTTGCTAATTTATTGTAGTTACACAATAGTGTGGCAAGACCATTAGAAGTTTCGTGAGTACATGACTCTTTTTGGTACTAATTAAAATGTGTAGTCAAATTTAAAATATCCTGAATGACAGTTCTCTTGTCTGAAAGTGTATAGTAGATGTTTATGTACTTTAAAATGTTACTTAAATTAAATTGTATTTAACGAATTTTCACCTATTACTATTATTTTCACTATATATAGTCATTAGTGTCTTTATTCCCCGAATGGATAAATTTCTTCAAAATAAGTTTGTTATGAAATGGTTAATATAATAACTCAATTCCATTTGAAGTACTTGTGATAATAATAATATAAACATAATTTTAACAATTCTACAATTATTGTTATATATAGAAGCAAGTGAACCATTAGATTTCATTGAATCTTATTTTGGTGTCCAAGCCTCCAGTCACTAGTTGTCCTCAATAGACTGAAGCTTTGAGACTGGAGCTCTGTCGCCATTATAGAACCATGCCCATTTTTGTTGCTGCAAGTTTCACGCTTTCAGTATATTGCTGCCATATCATTCTTACTGCTTAAACCCATATTCAACATCTTAAGTAAGTACAGTAAACTCTCACATCCATTTCCTAAGTGACAATATGTTCTGTGATCTCATCAACACCCTCAGGTACCATCGGCAGTACCAAGACTCACCGTCTTGGCTAGAAATATTATTATTATTTTTATTAATATGTGCCTCATATATGCTTATAACATATATGTATATATATATATATATATTTATATTAACTGTTCCTTCATTACTGTGTATATAATTTTTCACTATCTGTATATACTTTTTGTCTATTATGGAAATATAATAATAGCCTATAGAAATATAATAATAACAATATCAATAGATATTTGAAAAATTGCCGATCATATGTAGATTGTCACTTATTCGTTTCGTTTTGGAACCACCATAGGGTTATCAGAGTGGGGAATGTGTGTTTACTCACTCATAAAGTTTAAGTTATACATTAAATATATCATTTCATTCCATTCTGATAATGCAGAAATGCAACTAGTTTTCTAGATAACAGAAACAAAAAATTTAAAAGCAGAAAATGGTTAGTATATAAAACGAACCTGCCACATATATGATACCTGCCCTAACATACTGCTGTTGGAGAGGTGGACACTTTTCAAAAAGCTATAAAGATGCAGGCGTGGAAGAAACGATTAAGCACCTATTATTAATTGTTCGACACTCTTGAGATTTCTACTTTGATTTCCACCTTTATATATATATTGGCAGATGAGAATTTCTCCATCGACGATACACACAACTATCGACTTTTATAATATGTTATGTTTTTGATAGTTACAGTTCAACGCAATTTTAACAACAACTTTAATTTAGAATATTTCATTTTTGAGATATATTTTATTTTAAATATATCACTTATAATGTATAAAACAAATCGGTTTTTATAAAAGACATATAATATTTTCGAACAATTTAAATCACATCCACTGCTCAATGGCATAAGCCTTTTCTATCCACTTGTTCTAATCATCCTATTATCCGTCCCACTTTTTTTTCATTGTTTCAATTCCAGTGTTTTTAAATCAATCAATATTGAATCGAACCGTCTCTTGTTGAAATTCCCAATTTAATATTAAAGTATTTAAAATTCTTTCAAATATCAGAAATTCTGATATACATAAAGGTCTTTTTATTGAAAGTATAACTGAATTATTTTAGTCAGAAAAATGGATGGTCATACCAATAATTCTTGAGATCCGTTTAAAAGAATTCAAGCAATGTATGGAATATTAGCCAATATCTGTCCTATTATACTTTATGGTTAAAAAAGGGTTTTATAAAAAAATGGATTCAGATTTCGAAATTCTTCGAAGAGACGCACCTAGCGAAAGAAGTAAAGATACTAGTAAAGTTTCTACTTCATTAAAGAACAAGTCATAGGTCTATTCTAAGAGTGGATGAATGACTCTTCTATTTAAATCCGTTTAGTTAGTATTTAACTTAAGTTTGCGGAGGCGGTTAACTTAAGGCATCACACGAGTATGCTTATTACAATAGGTATAGATTGGTTGAGATTATAAAAAATACTTTACTTTCACATATAATTTAATAAAGGACATAAGTAATGTACCTATGATATTATTATTAACACTATAACCTATAATAATAAATTTGCATAAAATACAATGTCTATTCGTTTGCTGTATGATTCTTTATATATTTCTAATATATGAAAACTTTCTCTTGCTCTGTAAAGTCTTGGTAAGAACTCTTTTCCGTAGAGTCAAGAAAAAAATCTTCCGAAGGCAACAAGCTGCTAGTTCACGTCACCCACAAAGTCTCCTCCACTTTATTCCTATTTTCAACATTATTCGAAACATTAGAGAGTACGTGAATTTGGCACTGCGTGACTGTTAAGTTTAAAAGCGTCTAGACACTGTCGACGTTGTTCCGGGCAAAGTTTTGCGTCCAACCAATTTAAATTTATTTTTCTCCTCTTTTTTGAGGTTGCACTTGATATTTATTTGCAACATTTTCCAATTGCTGTCACATTTGTACAGTGCGAAATTGCTACTGCAAGTGCAGATTCCATTCTTTCGCAACGGAGTATCGAAGTTTCGCTTTACAAGCGCTCGCCTTAAAGATTCTTAAGGATTTGGCGGGGCTTTATGGTTAATGCGTGTGCATTTTTCGTTGTGCTCTGGTATTTTATTTTGTATTTCACTTTTCGTTGAAAGCATCTTGCAGCTCAGTTTCAAATTAAAATTGCTGAGTACTATTTTATGTCAAAGTATTGCTGCTGTAAACAGACGCAATACGAAGCAAACAAACCGCAACACAGATACATACCCGTGTCCTCTTCTTTCGAGCTCACCATTCGTTGGAAAATATTCTTGCGATTATTTCAAGTAAAAATTTCTTTTAATTTGTATTAATTAGTGAAACAAATTAAGCTTAATTTGTCTGGATTTAATGTGGTGAAGCTGCATTAAAAAGTAATCTTGAAAATTCTCGAAGTTTCTTTCACTATATTCAATGAACTTAAATTGAATGGAGAAAAGTGAACTAAAATTAAATACAAGTTTAATTTTGCGGAAATTTCCATCAC